GTATTTGTTATTGTAAAACCATCGAGGTCATGAACATAGGTCTAATTTTTAACCCCTTTCTAATTTTAATCGTTCCTACATTTTTAAATGATTTTTCAGCAACACTATTTTAAAGGGATGTTTACAATGGGCTTCAAATACTTGTGTAGTTTCAAATTGCTGACAAGTGTGTGTGTTTTTATTGAAATCCTCGGGTTCATGCATGCGCCTGTAATATTTAACCGTTCTATTTAATATGCATATGAATATTATAAGATTCTGTTTTCAGTTCATGGTTCGCAGTTTAATATAGCATGTCGATCTTTTAGTCCAGCTAAAATAACATCAAACGGTACAGTTAAAGGACAATATTGGTGCCAGTCATTATCACATATGTGATAGAACTGGTTAAACACGTTCCAAATATTATTTTCTTACAGAGATCATTGCTACGATAGATGCGTAATCAATGTTTAAACAATCGGAAGTGACGAACGCAAAAGGAAAACACGAGTTATCTTATATATAACTGACTGAAGTGACGGGTGATAACATGGGCGAACTTTTGCTCACTATTAATATTGTCCTTTAAATTGCTTCATGAATATCAACAACTGTTTATAACTTTCACAAACTTTACTAAACCTGAATATTAGGAACGGATTATACTTTGATACCAAGGGGCCATGTTCTTTAACCCGCCCCATTTAGCTGATGCAGGTTATCGTGCATGAGACCAGGTAGAAAGCCTGGTGTTACTCCTCACTCAACAAACTTCTAAATAGCCTCTCGCCGTTAAAATGCGAAAAAGAAACGTCGATGTAGCCATAGAAGTCATTTTTATTCGACATTCCAGATCTGACATACAGATAACGTCGCTGCCATAAATTGTATCAATTTAATGTAGTTCCCATATACCGTTTATCAAATTAACATAGCCGTTATGGCACAGTCTGTCAAATTAACGTATCTGCCGTATGCATTTGAATATTATAAGATTCTCTTTTCAGTTCATATAGACCTTGTCTGTTGCCCAGTCCCTTTCAATTTTTTACAAAATGTCTAAAACATCCCAAAAATGATAATCGTGTGTGAAATAGCTGTATAATTTATATCAGTTACGGGCTATACTATATACCGAAAACACCGTAAAACAACCGAAAAATACCGGAAAACACCAAGTTATACTGAATACCGGAAAAACACTAAATACCGGAAAACACCCTAAATAGGTAACTCGGAGCCTGGTCCTCTGGAAAACACCGGAAAAAACCTTACCCTAACTCTAACCCATCGTTGGTCCTCTGGAAAACACCTGAAAAACCTTACCCTAACCCATCGTTGGTCCTCTGGAAAACACCTGAAAAACCTTACCCTAACCCATCGTTGGTCCTCTGGAAAACACCTGAAAAACCTTACCCTAACCCATCGTTGGTCCTCTGGAAAACACCTGAAAAACCTTACCCTAACCCATCGTTGGTCCTCTGGAAAACACCGGAAAAACCTTACCCTAACCCATCGTTGGTCCTCTGGAAAACACCGGAAAAACCATACCCTAACCCATCGTTGGTCCTCTGGAAAACACCTGAAAAACCTAACCCCAACCCATCGTTGGTTCTCTGGAAAACACCTGAAAAACCTTACCCCAACCCATCGTTGGTCCTCTGGAAAACACCTGAAAAACCTAACCCCAACCCATCGTTGGTCCTCTGGAAAACACCGGAAAAACCTTACCTTAACCCATCGTTGGTCCTCTGGAAAACACCGGAAAAAACCTTACCCTAACCCATCGTTGGTCCTCTGGAAAACACCGGAAAAACCTAACCCCAACCCATCGTTGGTCCTCTGGAAAACACCGGAAAAACCTAACCCCAACCCATCGTTGGTCCTCTGGAAAACACCGGAAAAACCTAACCCCAACCCATCGTTGGTCCTCTGGAAAACACCGGAAAAACCTAACCCCAACCCATCGTTGGTCCTCTGGAAAACACCGGAAAAACCTAACCCTAACCCATCGTTGGTCCTCTGGAAAACACCGGAAAAACCTAACCCCAACCCATCGTTGGTCCTCTGGAAAACACCGGAAAAACCTTACCCTAACCCATCGTTGGTCCTCTGGAAAACACCGGAAAAACCTAACCCTAACCCACCGCTGGTCCTCTGGAAAACACCGGAAAAACCTTACCCTAACTCTGGGTTACCTATTTAGGGTGTTTCCGCTATTTAGTGTGTTTTCCGGTATTTAGTGTTTTTCCGGTGTATTCCGGTATTCAGTATAACATGGTGTTTTCCGGTAGTTTTCCGGTATATAGTATTGTCGTCAGTTACCATTTATCCGGTATTAAATATTATATCAGTTACTATTTTATAAATATGATTAAACCCTATGTGACGGTCAGTATACATTAATCTTGGACCGACCTATGTTAGACTCATGGTATTTAGTGTACAAGGTATTGATATTCCGGGTACAATTACCCGAACTTCCTCTTCACTTTTGCGATGGAAGCAGACGCAAATAAAGCTATTTCACACACACACACACTTCACGATAATCAGTTTGAATTTTATTCTACTTCATGGCATTTACTTATAACAAAATAACGATAATAAATTTATATAGAATTGTTGTATTTTATTTTAGGTGGAGACGGTTTCCGAATTGCAACAATTGTTTTATCGTGTATGTGTATGGTGCTGCTGGTATTAAACATAATATTCGTCTGTTTATTCAGGTAAGATGGTGTCAAAACACACTAGAAGATTGTTTCATATGATCTTACGAACTGGTCCAACAGTGGAATCGTGCTCGGTCACTATTATATTCATTAAGGAATGATATTCATATGAATATTCGTGAAGAAGTGAATCCATCTGAATATTCATTGAGGAGTGATACTCATATAAATATTCATGAAGGAGTGATATTCATATGAAAGAGAATTCTATAAAGTTGATACTGTCAATCTACAGCTTAGAAAGGTCCAATTCGAATCAGTTTTTCAAGCAATATATAGTGTCTGACATAATATGAGTCTTTGAATCGGGTTCTTGACGACAACACTGGTTTAAACTTCATATAATACTTGTATTCCTCTTTAAACATATCATGTACAAAACTTAAAGACTCCGTAATTAGCTTGTGTTGAGGGCATCATGGTCCTAGCTTGGCTTGACACCCTTGGGTGCCAACTCTAAACTAACTTACATGGCCCCTGTCCGGTCTGAACTCGACGCTCTCGCCTTGATTGAATAATCTCAGTTTGATTTCTGTTTATATTTCCTTTCTAGACAAAGGATCATCGAAGAGATTATGTAGATGCCTATAGCATCCTAACTCAGATCAAGGGTAGTAACTAATGACTTCTATGTGGCCGTTGGCCGTGTCAGACCAGTGCCAGTGTCGACCATCTGTGAGTCATAATCTAATAAGGTTTTAAGTGACATGTTTTTGAATCATGTTAATTGTGTAACATATTCTATTGTTTGATTCCTGGCTTAACTACCTGCTCGTAGTTTTTATATTATAGTTTGTCGGGAAAGGGTGATTTTAAATGTTTTTGTTTTTGTTTTAGGAAGAGAAAAGAGAGAGAGAGAAATGGGGTTTAACCCCACTCGACACAACTAGGTCATTTCGGGACTAACACATTGTTCAATTTTATTTCATTAATTCGCTTGCGCGTAGGGGTCTTTATCAGTGGGAGGAAACCGGAGGACCCGGAGAAAACCCACGAGGTTGGACAGGCGACCCTACGCCTTGTCGAAGAGAAAAGAAACAAAGCATGACAAACAATCAGAAAGCCTCGCTACTTTAAGATAACCTGTCGTTAATTTTGATAAGTTCTTTGAAAAATATCTTATTTAAGATTCGTGAAATGTGTTCTAAGAATTTTATATCGTGTGTGTTGTTATTTTATTGTGTGTGTCATCATTTAATATTATTATGTGAAGAAAGTGTCCACCTGTGAGAAGTGTGTTAGTTATTTACTTTGGCTGTTTTATATTTTTGTTCGTAATGGAAATAAATCATATAATTACGAAACTGATCTCTAAAATAGTGTTATAATTAATGATAAGTGATTTTGTTTATGAGAAGTGTTTTGTTAAAATAAACCCCAATTATCGCTTTTTTTCTGGTCGTGGACCCTTCTTTAATTGTCTTATTATCATATTATAATTCATTAAATCAATACTCCTTTGTCACAACTTGATCTCGACAATGGATTAGTAGTAATTCCGTTTGTTCATTGAGACATCAGTTTTTAGGTATACCCAACTTAAAAGCATTAGGCACTACTATCGGCCCTGTAATTGGGACCCCAGTCTTTAAATATGTCCAACATTAGACACTACTAGTGACCCTGTAATTGAGACCTACATGTTTAAATATGCCAACACTGGGCACTAGTAGCAGCCCTGTAATTGTATGTATATAATTAGTAGTATACGGTTCCAGGAGTATCAGAATTCGACGAACGGAGGTCCTGGGCTTTTCCAAATAACTTAATTAAATCAGCCTTTCCATAATATCAAATTTGACGTTAATCAACAAACAACAATGTTTCCAGCAATGCCGGAAACTGATGAGGATCACCTCAATCACCCCACCCCCTCACCCGACTAGAAGAAGACGAAAGTGTGTTTCAAACACATGAGCAAAGCCGAGGACGATGGCGTCTGTTTCAGACTACAGTGCATGTACAAAGGGCTTATGACAATGTTACAAGTATTATACACATTGTGTGGAGGCCCCTAGATCTTGAGGTCATAGGCCTGCCAAGCCTATAGATAAATCTAGCATTAGTTTCCCGTACTAAAGATAGACGAACTCTCCTAAAATCTGAAAGCCTGTTCTGGACCTCAATAAAATTGTGCATGGATTATAATATAAGTTCTTCTGATCGCTATAATCGTGTTTTTAAAATGGCTCGGTGTCTTTGATTTGGATCAAATATAATTTCAGTGGGTTTTATTTGTTGATTTGCTTTGTGCGATGTGAACAGAATCATGGAACAATAATGTAATTTATAATGTGTTTTATTCCAGTGTATACTTGTCTTTATTTTTTAGACCTGATACATGTTCCCCAGTAAGAGTATATATACTCGCTTCCATCCTCTCCAGCTGATAGTTCGGGATACAAGCAGGTTGTACCAGATTCACAACTGTATAAAACCAAAGAGAAAACGTAATATATGACTTTGTATTGAAGACGTATTTTCATCTGGCCGCTGTAATCGTCTATTTAAAATGGCGATACATCTTTGAATTGGGATACAAATAAAATTGTTCTTGGGTCTTACTTCTCTAATTCATCCACGATTATCGACAACAATACGAACGAATCCCTCCTCAATTATATCGTAGGGGTGACGGGTAGTTAATGTCTACACGACACAAAATGGGTCATTCCGGGACTAACAGGTTATTTTTTATTTCAATAATTCGCTTGCCTGTAGCGGACTTCCGGCAGTGGGGTGTGGTTGGGGGTGGGGGGAGACCAACGAGGTTGGACAGGCGACGATTAAGTTGCAAATCAAATCTGCGCCACTAGTCTCAGTGACCGGCCTTTGTTATCTAAAGCGCACGAATTAGACCATTAGGCGGCAAAGCCCCCCCAACCACAACCACACACATCAAAATGGTAGTATGAATACAATAGAGAGAGAGAGATGGGGTTTAACGTCCACCCGACACAAACTAGGTCATTTCGGGACTAACAATAATTCCCTGTGCGCGTACGGGAGAAAACCGGAGAAAACCCACGAGGTTGAACGAATATAATAGGAACCAATGTCAACATGTTATGGTTTGACTAACAACAGGACGTGTTATCAACATGGATAGGTCCTTTAATCGCCAAGGGGTTGGATGGCTGAATGGTTAGCACGCGCGCGCTGTATCTTACGGTCTGTCATTGAGTCAACTGGCGGGGTTTCGATTCCCCGGTTGTACGTGACAAGGAGTAGGGTCGCCTGTCCAACCTCGTGGATTTTCTCCGGGTCCTCCTGTTTCCTTCCACTGCTAAAGACCCCTACGCGCAAGCGAATTATAGATTTATTACAAATATACTATTCAAAAAAGTAGGGGATATTTGATTTTGGGGGCATAATACTAAAATATGCAAATGACTACGAAAAAAGTCACTATAGAACCTAACAGAAGAAACATTTCCAGTTACATGTGACGCCCAAACGCACCAATAGCTACCGCATGGAATGCAGGTGATGCTTGGGATCATCATGGGGGTCCAACCCAAGATTTGCACGACTCTGACTTTGAATGTTACAGTCATTGTGGCATTGAATTCCAGGGTGGAAACATCAGTTTAATTGTTTTAGTGACCAGAAAACAAATTTTGATATGCGTCGGCTTACCCAAAATGAAAGGTTACGTGCCCTTGGCATGCTACAGATCGGCACAACACAGGCGGTTGTGGCGCGGACGATGAATGTTTCTCAGTCTGTCATAAGCAGGCTATGGTCCAGATACCGTGATACACAATGTGTACAGGACAGACCACGCTCAGGTCGACCAAGGGCGACAACTCAAGCCCAGGATCGATTTATCCGTACCTTGGCCTTGAGAAATCGTGTCATCACAGCAAATCAGATCAGCGCTCGTCTTCAAACAGACACTGGTGTGAGAGTGAGTGGCCAGACGATTCGGAATCGACTGCATAGGGGTCACCTTCGCGCCCGACGTCCTCGCGTGATCCCTTCTTTGAGAGATCATCACATTCAGGCAAGACGTCGTTGGTGTAGGGATCGTCAACACTGGGATAATCGACGCTGGAGCAATGTGATGTTTTCAGATGAGTCAAGGTTCACTGTTGATTTTTTGGACAGACGTAGGAGGGTGTGGCGTCGTCGAAACGAGCGCTTCCAAGACGTTAACGTCATCAGACATGATCGATTTGAGGGTGGTTCTGTTATGGTGTGGGGAGGCATCACTGTTGCTGGAAGAACGGCTTTACATGTTGTTGCAGGGCGTGTTACAGGCCAGTACTACCGGGACAACATCTTGGCAGTCCATGTTGTGCCGTTCGCACGACGTCATGGCCGCCGTTTCATCTTCCAGGATGACAACGCAAGATGTCACAGGACCAGGATCGTTACAGGTTACCTCCAACAACAGAACATCACCACATTACCTTGGCCAGCACTGAGTCCCGACCTCTCCCCCATCGAGCATGTCTGGGAAATGCTTGGAAAGAGGTTACGTCAACGTCAACAACGTCCTGCCAATGTCCAAGAACTTGCTGCTGCGTTGCAACAGGAATGGGACAATCTGGACCAAAATGACCTTAGACGTCTCATTAGGAGTATGCCACGTCGGATCAATGCTTGTTTGGCAAACAGAGGAGGATTTACCCGTTACTGACTTGGTTGTGATGCTGTGGTAACTTTGCTGTTTGACCCCGGGTATCATTTTACCCTTATAATGGTCAGTCTGTGCCTTACTTAGTCTAACGATCATTTGGAATAAATCGATGAATGTGTACTTCATTTCATTTTGTCATTTGTTTCTTCGTCAGATTCATTAGGTGACTTTAATAAAACTTAAAAATCAAATATCCCCTACTTTTTTTGAATAGTATAATTGCTTAGCTTATCAATATACCAGCAAATGAAACTGAATAAGCTTATTACGAACTGAAATAAGCTTATGTTTAATATTATTATGATCGACTGTATAGTTATATTACCTTGGACTGTACATGCCACAAGACTCGCCTTCTTTAGTCGCACACAATTGACAACAACCACACACATCAGAAACTGGCTCACAATCAGTTGTTGGTAAATCATCACAGGTTATTTCAGAACATGGTAGACATGCATATCCTTCTGATCTACCAACCCATGTTACTGCTACTAGAGCACATACTACAACCAACAACTTCATACTGAAACAGACGGTATAATTATATAATACGTAGTTACAATACAAGTTACAGTCTTAGTATTTGATCTACCAGCCCATGTTACTGCTACTAGAGAACATACTACAATTAACAACTTCATACTGAAACAAACAGTAATTTATATAATACGTGGTTACAATACATGTTACAGTCTTGGTATTTCATCTACCACCCATGTTACTGCTACTAGAGCATATAATATAATAAACATCTTCACACTGAAACAAAACGCACATTATATAATACGTAGTTACAGTCTTAGTATTTAATCTTCCAACCAATGTTACTGTTTATTATTTCTGACTCATTGTTCCTGAATTATACCCATTACAACAGATTAACACACGTGTACACCCGTTCTCTTTTAGTTAACTATATAGTATGTAACCACAGACAATTGGTACTATAGACTATTTTAAACCACAGTGTTACTAACTATGTAAATATGAATAAATTGTTGTATTTGACATTATTTTTTCTGGAGAGCTCCCCAGAACCAACCAAAGTTGAAATCAGTTTGTGTTGGCACACCTTCTATCTTTTAAAGTGCAGCTTTACGGTTGTGCTAATATGTTCACCGTTAAGGAAATATATACATTTAAATGATCCCTAGACAACAGATGGACCGTTTTAGTTCAATTAGATTTTGTAAATTGAGTAAAAATGATTCTAAGTATAGATAATCACTTACCTGATTTCCGTTTTACAGATTAATCTTCACTGTGGTCTGTGTGAATTATTTTCGGTTTATATATTGCACTGAGGCTGATTTTGACACGTTTATAGTGATGATCTACTAAATATTTGACTGATTGTATCTCCTGTTTTGTGTAATTTAAAACCAATGAAATGTCCATAAAATTACAGGAGTAAGATAATTGGTTCTATTAATATATCATTATTAAGCAAATAAGGCAATGATAGCTTCCAACTGCAAAGACCTTCATATAGTTTTACTGATTGATCGGATACACATCCCCCCGACCACCAACAACCCCAGCCCTGAAATGGATGGCAAGGGCCATTGCCACTCTTTCCTCCCCATCCCTGTACGCCACTGAACACAGATCAATCTTATCAAATTCAAATATATTTTACTGTTGTATTAGACGTTGAACAAAGATCAAAACTATCTACAAAGTAAATAAGGCAATGATAGCTTCCAACTACGTAGACCTTTATATAGTTTTACTGATTGATTAAGATACACATCCCTATCCACGGCCCTGAAATGGATTGCACGGGACATCGCCACTCCGTCCTGCCCATCCGTGTACGCCACTGGACATAACAGATCAATCAAAATTGTACATTTTAATCTGATCTAATTCAAATATAGTTTACTGCTCTATTATTAAATAAACAGAACAGGTCAAAACTATCTATAATGCAAACTGTTTGCTGATATGTGTTTTAACATAGTCGTGCTTTATTATAAGGGTGGGGGTGGATGGCCGAATGGTTAGTTGTATCATAAGGTCTACCACTGAGTCAACTGGTGCGGATGTAAGTGACAAAGAGTAGAGCCGACTGTCCAGTCTCGCGGGGTTTCTCCGGGTCCTCCGGTTTCCTCCCACTGCTAAAGACATTTACTCGCAAGCGAATTATTGAAGTACAATTGAACAATATGTTAGTCCCGAATGACCTAGTCTGTGTCGATTTGAAGTTCTCCCCCGCCCCTCCCCCCTCTCTCTCTCTCCCTCTCTCTCTCTCCCCCATAGTACATGTATATATACTATTCAAAAAAAGTAGGGGATATTTGATTTTGGGGGCATAATACTAAAATATGCAAATGACTACGAAAAAAGTCACTATAGAACCTAACAGAAGAAACATTTCCAGTTACATGTGACGTCCAAACGCACCAATAGCTACCGCATGGAATGCAGGTGATGCTTGGGATCATCATGGGGGTCCAACCCAAGATTTGCACGACTCTGACTTTGAATGTTACAGTCATTGTGGCATTGAATTCCAGGGTGGAAACATCAGTTTAATTGTTTTAGTGACCAGAAAACAAATTTTGATATGCGTCGGCTTACCCAAAATGAAAGGTTACGTGCCCTTGGCATGCTACAGATCGGCACAACACAGGCGGTTGTGGCGCGGACGATGAATGTTTCTCAGTCTGTCATAAGCAGGCTATGGTCCAGATACCGTGATACACAATCTGTACAGGACAGACCACGCTCAGGTCGACCAAGGGCGACAACTCAAGCCCAGGATCGATTTATCCGTACCTTGGCCTTGAGAAATCGTGTCATCACAGCAAATCAGATCAGCGCTCGTCTTCAAACAGACACTGGTGTGAGAGTGAGTGGCCAGACGATTCGGAATCGACTGCATAGGGGTCACCTTCGCGCCCGACGTCCTCGCGTGATCCCTTGTTTGAGAGATCATCAAATTCAGGCAAGACGTCGTTGGTGTAGGGATCGTCAACACTGGGATAATCGACGCTGGAGCAATGTGATGTTTTCAGATGAGTCAAGGTTCACTGTTGATTTTTTGGACAGACGTAGGAGGGTGTGGCGTCGTCGAAACGAGCGCTTCCAAGACGTTAACGTCATCAGACATGATCGATTTGGGGTGTGGTTCTGTTATGGTGTGGGGAGGCATCACTGTTGCTGGAAGAACGGCTTTACATGTTGTTGCAGGGCGTGTTACAGGCCAGTACTACCGGGACAACATCTTGGCAGTCCATGTTGTGCCGTTCGCACGACGTCATGGCCGCCGTTTCATCTTCCAGGATGACAACGCAAGATGTCACAGGGCCAGGATCGTTACAGGTTACCTCCAACAACAGAACATCACCACATTACCTTGGCCAGCACTGAGTCCCGACCTCTCCCCCATCGAGCATGTCTGGGACATGCTTGGACAGAGGTTACGTCAACGTCAACAACGTCCTGCCAATGCCCAAGAACTTGCTGCTGCGTTGCAACAGGAATGGGACAATCTAGACCAAAATGACCTTAGACGTCTCATTAGGAGTATGCCACGTCGGATCAATGCTTGTTTGGCAAACAGAGGAGGATTTACCCGTTACTGACTTGGTTGTGATGCTGTGGTAACTTTGCTGTTTGACCCCGGGTATCATTTTACCCTTATAATGGTCAGTCTGTGCCTTACTTAGTCTAACGATCATTTGGAATAAATCGATGAATGTGAACTTCATTTCATTTTGTCATTTGTTTCTTCGTCAGTTTCATTAGGTGACTTTTAATAACACTTAAAAATCAAATATCCCCTACTTTTTTTGAATAGTATATATATGTATTACTAATCAAATTTAATTATTGGAGAGGGAGGATATTTTAATTTTAAATACTTTAATGACCTTACATCTATACAACCCGTGTTCACTGCCCAGTCTTTGGAGAATTGTTTTTAATTATATATTTTTATTATGATATATTATGACCTTATAATGTTATAAGGTCAGCGGGATAATTGATTTCTCGGCCTAACATTAGTTTATTAGCCGTATAACCCGTTTGTCTATTAACACTAGATCGTAAAGAACTTGCAAATTGCGGTAAGTATATATCCCAATCATTTTGACAACCGTCTATGTAACACTTTACTGCTTCCATAAGCGTGCGATTATAACGTTCAACTCGTCCGTTAGATGACGGTCTATAAGGGGCAGTGCGACCCTTATGAATTTGTAGTACCTTGCATAACGTGGTGAACAAATTGCTTTCGATGTTTCTCCCCTGATCCGTAAAAACGTGAAACGGACAGACAAAACGCGAAAAGAATTCGTTCACTGCTGCCTTGGCATTAACCTCCGCAGTTTGCGACGGTAGGGGGATACATTCGACCCACTTAGAGAACTGGTCAACCATCATCACGATATACTCATTACCCGCCTGCGTAACTGGTAACGGCCCTAAGAAATCTAACTGCACTCTCTCCATCAGCGAACCCGCATGATATCTTTTCATTTATAACGGGCCTTTGCCTGCGTATTTATATGGATATTACACGTACCACAAGACGCGACATAGGCACGGACATACTCCGTCATGCCATACCAATAAAACTGTTGTTTGATACGATCCTTAGTGACCCGACGATGGAATGTCGTGACATAGTCGACAGATTTCAATTTTTAATTCTTCCGGTACAACCAACCGAGTATTTGACAAATTACTAGGTCGTTTTACGCGAAGAACACCATTATCCAAAAGAAATAAATTACGGTTAATCCAGTAATGTTTTACCGCTGGATTTTTTAAGGTTAAATCGCTTTGTTCCGGTTCGATTCCCATATTCAGCCAAGTTAGAATAATCTCTAAATCTTGATCATTAAATTAAGCAGTTTTGATCGTCTCAGCAGAATAGTCAGTTAGGGAAATCCCCTCGCCTATTACGTCATCGCTCTCAACTTCATCAATAGTTACGACGTTTATCCGGGGGTCGTTCGGATACCCTGTAACCGTTATACTAACGGGGTCATCGCTGATATTTTTGTCTAACAGTAAATTGCGCTTAATACCGGACTTATATGGTAATGGTATCACATCGTCGACATTTGTAGCGAATTCTATCCAATTCCTATGAGCTCTTTGACAATAGCAACAACCACCGCACGGTAAATCTGTTAATTGGAAGTCTATGTTAAAAGTGTCGCACTGTTTATCCTTTAGTTTCATACGACTTAATGCATCTGCGTTGGTATGTAAACTCGCTTTACGGTGCACGACCGTCATATAATATTGACCTAATTCCTCTAACCAGCGGGCGAGTTGTCCTGTCGGGTGTTTAAAACGTAATAGCCAGGTTAAACTGGCATGGTCAGTTCTTACTATAAAAGGTTTCCCAAGCAAATAATGTCGAAATTGCCTAGTGAATCGTACAATTGCCAAAAGTTCTTGTCTTGTTGTACAGTAACGACGCTGCTCGGCCGAAAGGGAAAAACTGCTATAGGCGATAACTCTTTCTTGGCCGTTTTGTATCTGTGATAATTCGGCGGCAATGGCGTTCATGCTGGCATCACAGTCGAGAATGAAGGTATCATTTTCCGTAGGCACCGCTAACACCGGAGTTGTCACGAGCAAATGTTTAAGTTGATCAAATGCAATCTGTTGTTTATCACCCCATATAAATGCTTTCTTACCGGTAATGGCGTATAACGGTATAGCGATTCTAGCGAAATCTTTGATAAAGGTTCCATGATAGTTTGCAAAGCCCAAGAAGGATTCGACTTCTTTAGTACAAGTGGGAACCATCCATTTCTCGACGGTCTTTGTTAAATTATTACCCGCTTTTAGTCCATCTTGACTAACCATACGGCCCAGGAATTCGACTTCCTGCTGGAACAATTCGCATTTTTTAGGCTTCAATTTCATGCCATATTGCCGGAATCGATCTAAAACCAATCTTAGGTTTGTTAAATGGTCATCTACATTTTTACCCATGACCATCGTATCGTCCAAAACATCCAAAGCAATATTCCAACTGAGACCATTAAGAACTAAACTGATACTCCTAGAACACCCGGACACAGCTCCGGTCAAGCCAAAGGGGAGTTTTGTGAATTCGAATAGACCATATTTCGTGATAAAAGCTGTCTTTTTCCTATCTTCTGGCTAAAGGGGAATTTGCCAATATGCAGAATTCGCATCCAGTTTCGAAAACCACTTATTTCCGGACAAGGCATCCATACATTCGCCAAAAAGGGGTAGGGGAAATACATCTTTGGTCGTAACCGCATTTAATTTACGGTAATCTATACACCATCGGACCGTTCCATCTTTTTTACGGATTAAGACCGGAG